AAATCTTGCGAAAACGCCCAGTACCATGTGTAAATATCTTGGCTCCGAGGGCCATGCCCTCCCCTTCTGGCTCCACCCTTGCAAGCGTCCCAACAATTAATTGATCTGTTTTTAGTATGCAAGGAAATTTGTAAAATATGAGGACATGTAATTACTTATTGCTTTCACCTGTTCAAGTGATGTTATCTCTAATTCAAGTTGGTTTCATTGCGCCACTCAAACTTTATAACCTTAGACGCTTCGGGAATTGAAAGATATAAAACGCATGACGAATCTGCTTAACAATGATGCAGAACACACCGTCTGTCATTCAGGAGTAATACTTAATTCCAAGTGACTCCCGCCTGGTCGGCCAGCCACTGGCGAAATAACCCCTAAAAGCAATTTCGTTACTATTTTTGAGACTATAGAACGCTTAAGAATGAAATAAAAACGGTAAGGGCACACGGAACACATAACGGAGCACTTCTGCAATGTTCACCAAACTTGGCCGTCTCTATCCCAGCTAGAGAGGTTTAATTTTTTAGATTTTGACCTCAGATTGACGTCACCAGTGCAGCGACCGACTTTGAACTAACAAATATCCGCGGGCACAAAATGAATGCTTAAAAGGTACCTAAAGCATCCGTGGCTCCGCTCCGTTGTTGTTCTTTTTTTGCTAAGTCCCAGAAACATTAAAGGAAGTGTTCAATATTGGCATAGCGTTTGAACTGAAATAGCCATCTTTAAGATCATTCAGTGCAGTTGAGAGCCCTACCACTTCTAAGACCTAAACCCGTCTGGCTTTTGAGTGGGCTGTACGCGCGAAGATGCGCATATTTCCAGCCTATCTGAAAGTCAACCCAGGCCTCCATGATGCACTATAAGGTCACTTGTATTGTGCAATAAATTGGTCATGCATCGACTGCGGCCGCAAGTCCAGTCATTCATATCTGGCGTTTGCGAGCACGGTTTCCAGATATAACGGCCGCCAATATGCTCTCCATCAATGTTGTGCAACGCACTACGGCATGATGACACAATGACGTATTGAAGAGCATTTTACTAAGCCGAGAAATTGCGTTGTCTAGAGCAGCCTTTTTCACTTAAAAGTGTACCGATAGTTTTTAAATGATGCTTAATTCACCACGCTTGCTTCAATATCTCCAAACGTGTGGCACTCCGGACGGATGCGTCACTTTCGGCGCTCCCCAGGCGCCCTGGATAGGAATGGCTGTGGCCCGTGACAGCGGCGAGGCGACGTCAGAGGGCGGGACGGACCGTGCTGAGTAATGTGCGGCACGTTCGACTTTCGCCATTAACTTCTACCGCTGGCCTAGAACTTCAGGTTCAGGTGGTTGGAAGCCAGGGTTCACGCAGCATACACCGCTAAGTGTGACCTCTTATCCCAGAACTTCATTCATTCAAAAAAGGTTTGTACTAAGTCATTATTAAATAAACTTTTCTTCTTTCCCTTAGAAATACCTAATATAGTTATGGTTGCAGGCACGTGATGATGCAATACCCCTCCTGACACGGCCTTAAACTCTAGGCGCGGAGGACTTTGAATTGCTCGGCCAGTTCTGTAACCAGAATCGCCGAGCGGTCTTTAGGAGCACCAATTACATCGTACCAGCATTTGCATCAACATATGCAATCATGACATGGCGGAGACATAGGTGGAGAAACGTTTCAGAAGGTGAGGACCAGCTTAGGGCGTACTTCAGGAACTTTTTTGGAAAGCAAGCCCGATGACCGGGGGGGGGGGGGGGGGGCGTAGAGATGGAGGTTATTATCGCTCTTTATTCAAATGTCATGGTTGCTATGCTTGCTATGCATTTAGGGCTGTTCTCTTAATGCACAACCTTGCCTATTCGACCCATCTGTCATGTAGAAAAGAAGGCTATTCAGCTTCTCAAGATTATTCATTCATTTCAGCATTGTCCTTCCTGGAGAGGTGAAATCCCACGAGCGGGCAAGCATTTTAGGTCATTGAGGGAGCATATGCCTCCACAGCATAAATGCCAGAACACGGCCTGGACATAAGCGGGTGAGAATTTTGAAAGTGAATCTATGGCGCACAGTGCGACGCATTTTTCATGCACCTTCATTTTGCTGGCCGCTTTTCAAGAAATAAGACTTGCCGCGGCACGTATGGGGGAATCAAATTTGGAAGCTTGAAACTGTCAAATAAATTGAGTCAAAAGCCATAAAACTAGAGCGTCTCCATTAAACCAACCCACGGAATGGAAGCCAGTCTGTCATATATTACTTATTTGAGCCCTGCTCCTCTCCGCCGTCGGCGGCCACTACCCTGACCCGGTTGTCTCCCGCATGACTGAATGCGAACTGATGGTATGGCTGCTATGCTGCTGTACCAAATTTTTTATCTCGGATCTACGGAAATCAAGGGCATTGCGAACGTAGATTATAGATCGATATGTTTGATCTAAATTCGAAGATGAACATTTGATTGCAGATCGAAAGGTTAACAGGTGTATTGATATGGCCAAGGCACGGTACGCCGTACTGTGACTATAGTCCCCATGACCGGTCACGTACTCTAGTGCCGCTACCGGACTACCGACCTGCGCAGTGCGCACTGACGGCCAGATGGCGCAAACTGGACTTGACGGAGGCGAATCGCCGTCACCAAGATGTGGAATGGGGCCCAGTGTACGGCAGTGACGATCCCGAAGAGCCGTGGGACTATTCCCTGCAGTGACTCGTCCTATCGATGATGCTTTAGCACCGATGAGACGTTCAAAAGTGCGCAATCCTATAGCACCGCCTGTCACGGAAGCTACTAAAGACCTGATGGCCCGGCGGCGTGTCGCACTCCGTGATTATGACCGCGAGACGTATAAGGACCTAAACCGGCAGGTCAGGTCGGCAGTGCGTCGTGACACACGGGAGGAGATTGACAGGCGTGTACGGCCTATTGTCTCATCTAAGCAGCCAGCCAGGTCCACACCTGATGCGGACGCGGACGACATTAACCGGTACTTCGCCAGCATTGGTACCGGGACCGCCCGCCAGTTGGACTCCTCGGGGCCGGAGCTGGCGGTACGCCTGCCGCGCGTGGTCACCGGCCGGTTCCAGGTATCGCCCGTTACACAGGAGCAACTGCGATGCGTCATAGCCCGCACGCGTAACAGTACATCGTGCG